CTTGGCGCTGATAGGTGGAATTCTCTGCCTGTCTCGTGTCGTCAGGTTGAGCATCTATCCGTTTTTGTTTCGCTCTGTAAAGAGCACTTAGGGTTCCCTGTAACAAGACGGCAACGTCTGTAGGGCCTTCCCTATCAAAATAATAAATTCTACTACTACTATTCTACTCTAGGTGAAACGTAGACAGCAGCATTTCTTTTAATGGGGCTGTTAAGTGATGACGTCACAGTTCCTTCGATACGCATAACAACGATCCTATGGTGTTTTACGTCAACCATGACGGCTACAATGGCCAACCAGACCACAACGAAGTTGGGGCCAAAGAGAAAGTTTATTTCTTTCACGAGAAAATATATACAGGGGCCATTTTTACGAAAAATGATTTATGTATACAAAAATGCATGTACGAAGTCACTACATTACACCCCCACCAGAGATGAAGCCGAGAGCAGTTGCTGAAGAACGCCAAACGGAAAAAAAGATCTTGGAAAGGAAAGGAAAGAGTGAGCGAAGCGTACAAAGCGGAAAGACGGGAAAGAAAAATACACTGTACAAAGAGAAAGACTGTACAAAGAGCAAAAATATGCGCTGCATGTGGAATACCGTTGTATGACACGTGGACACAAGGTCCGAAACAAGGTAGAAAATGCAGGAAAGGGAAAGAGGAAACATGCGTGACAGAGGTGGAAGAGAGTGTCAGAGGCAGTCCAGAGAAAGAAAGTAGAGAAAAGAACAAGGGAAAACGTACGCGTGACAGAGGAGGACGGATCTTGATCTTGTCAGAGGCGGCTGCGGGCTAGGAGATCGTGGCGGTTGATCGGCGGATCGGTGGATCGGCGGACCGGCGGATGGTGGGCTGGTGAGGTCGTGGGCTTGGGCGCCTGCTCAATCTGGGCCGCGGAGGTCGAAGGCGCGATGGCCTGCTCCATGCCATCCATACAGCAACTCCGACTCAGCGCAGTGTCAGGGGTCACCAATTATGGTGTTTTACGTCAACCATGACGGCTACAATGGCCAACCAGACCACAACGAAGTTGGGGCCAAAGAGAAAGTTTATTTCTTTCACGTGAAAATATATACAGGGGCCATTTTTACGAAAAATGATTTATGTATACAAAAATGCATGTACGAAGTCACTACATTACACCCCCACCAGAGATGAAGCCGAGAGCAGTTGCTGAAGAACGCCAAACGGAAAAAAAATCTTGGAAAGGAAAGGAAAGAGTGAGCGAAGAGTATAAAGCGGAAAGACGGGAAAGAAAAATACACTGTACAAAGAGAAAGACTGTACAAAGAGAAAAAATATGCGCTGCATGTGGAATACCGTTGTATGACACGTGGACACAAGGTCCGAAACAAGGTAGAAAATGCAGGAAAGGGAAAGAGGAAACATGCGTGACAGAGGTGGAAGAACGTGTCAGAGGCAGTCCAGAGAAAGAAAATAGAGAAAAGAACAAGGAAAAACGTACGCGTGACAGAGGAGGACGGATCTTGATCTTGTCAGAGGCGGCTGCGGGCTAGGAGATCTTGGCGGTTGATCGGCGGATCGGCGGATCGGCGGACCGGCGGATGGTGGGCTGGTGAGGTCGTGGGCTTCGGCGCCTGCTCAATCTGGGCCGCGGAGGTCGAAGGCGCGATGGCCTGCTCCATGCCATCCATACAGCAATTCCGACTCAGCGCAGTGTCAGGGGTCACCAATTATGGTGTTTTACGTCAACCATGACGGCTACAATGGCCAACCAGACCACAACGAAGTTGGGGCCAAAGAGAATGTTTATTTCTTTCACGAGAAAATATATACAGGGGCCATTTTTACGAAAAATGATTTATGTATACAAAAATGCATGTACGAAGTCACTACAATCCCACTGGGGACAAACAAAAGTAGCGTCGTCTCCACCGACCCAGTTGTCAGTGGCAACATATAGGAATCGTGTACATTTCTTCGTTTCTTCTTTGCTGTTTTCAGTGAGTGTTTTGTTTTCTCTTTGTCCTTGATCTCGACGATGTTGTCGTGCTCATTACCTTACTGAGACGTCTCTTGTGACTGTAGCAAGTGTCACGGAGGATTTTATTGGCGTGACAAGGTAGTTCGCCGAGATCGAGCGTGAAAAACGCTCTGCATTAGTAGCTCCTGTAGAATGTTTTCTGGGTTGGCGTATCCATGGTCAACAAAACCAAGGTGCAAGACAGCATGAGAGATCGTGTAAACGATGTGAACTCCAAAAGGTAAGCTCCTGAACAAGTGGAAAGATATGGGTATTTACAAACTCTCTCTTCATCCATCGATTGGCGCTATGCATTGCATTTTGTCTTCACAGATAATCTGGCCAAATTTATTGTAACTAGAGAGTGCAATCGTGCACTGCTTGGGGCCCATCCCAATGTCATCACATGGCTGTGGTGACAAGTGTATATCTGGGAGAATTTTTCCTCGACTGATACGGAGTGCAGGTGGATCGATTATGAGAAATGCGAACATGTGAAGTAAGTAATTAGTTGTGTCGAAGAAATGTGCAATAAAATAAAATTTACTTTACACTCAAACATACACTGTAGACGTACATGTAACATCATGATAATGATTCCATCTTCATTGTCCCGCAACTGGTACACCATACGCACCGAATACATGGTGTGTGTGTGTGCGCGCGCGCGCAAGCGCGCGCATGTACATGCACACACTCTCATGCGTGGCCGAGTCGGCCAGATGAACAGACCATGCATTTACACGAGGTGTCCGTAATGTCATTGGAACGCTGTACTTTATGACTTTATTCCAAAAGAGTATGTCTTGCCCCTGACGAATGGAGTTGTGTCTGTGCTCAGCGGGTATCGGGCTACGACGCAACACTGCAATCAGCGCTGCAATTAAAAGAGCACTGCATGGATTATTTTGACTAACTTCCTTTGCGTTTACTTGGTTGAGCCCGTGGTTTCATTTCTGTGTTCTGTCATGATTGGCCTCTGGAAATAATCAGAGTGGATGTCATTTTGCCATATATGTGTGCCTTGTGCGACAGGTTCAAGGCTAGACGAACTTCACATTCGGCGTGCGATCTCAGCGTCTGGGACCTGATGAAGTCTTGGTTGGATGATTATTCAAGCCTGATACTACTCGACACACCAATGTTCATGTCAATGTAATTTTTTCAGAGCTGCACTATTTACGTGTTGATGCTTACTTCGGTGTTAGCGTGTTTCCCCCGGATTGTTTCTATCATCATGATCGTGTGTTCTTGGGCTGAGCGAGCACATGCACAAGTGTGCAGCTATAACCCTGTGTATCTTTGGTTACACTTTGTTCTGCAATGCATGTACCTTGTAACATTATGTGCTTGCACTGCTTTGTCTGGCCTGCGTATTTCAGGACTATTCAGTGCATTAGACCCAGGTTTGTTTGGTTGCCGGATGACCTCTTGTTGCGTCGCTCAGTATTTGTATTCATCAATTTTTGGGCTTGAGAATTGAGCTGTTGTATGGTTCCCAATATGAAAACATCATGCTGGTGCTCTGTGTTTCGATTATCGACTGTCGGAGCAGTCATGCATTTATTAGCAGAACGGTCAATACTGTAGTCTTTTCACGTGTTTGTCTTTTTTGTGTTTTCGCCGGGGGTATTAGCGGTAACGTTGCACACAGAACGGCAGTGTTGCATCACTGGACGACCCTGCCTCTGCATCTGACTTAATTTCCCCAGGATCTGGTGCAGTTACACCAGACAGCCACTTCCTGTAAACACGCAAACAGCAAAAGAAGAGATCCCGCAAATCAGGAAAAGCCATTATGGAAAATATAGAGTAGATCATACAACATTCAATAATCTGGAGTAATTACAGTGAGACAAACGCTTCAAACAGTGCTCTCTCTCTCTCTGTCTCCATCCTTCCAAAAATACCCTATGACAATTCCCTAGAATTATTTTATTTTATATTCTTAGGACATCATTCTGAACATAATAAATTCTTCCATGGGTCTTCAATCACCACGGAGGGCGAAAATATATCTAAGTCATGCAGTTTACGGGAGGTACGAGCTGTCATGGATATAGAGGCTGATATTGTGCCAGCGTGAGGGCAGAGACAGAAAGAAGACACTGATTTCTTGAACAACTCACCTATATATAATCGAATCCACAAGGAGCGCTCATACTTTGATCCATCAGGACGCGAAACATCTTCAAAGCACTCTCAAACACGGAGTTTTACTGTGGGCAGCCAATTTCACAGCCATCATGAAGGCACTCGACGACTACAGGAGTTTTGTAGAGGAAAAAACAATGAGTAAAGAGCGACAACAATCGCTTGAAGAAAAAGCAAAGAAAAACAACTGTCTCTCCAGTCATTTAGATGCTGTTGCCCTTGACATCTGGTTCCATCCAGAGGACGCGACTTTTGTTTGTCCCCAGTGCTCTCCGTTGCTATGCGTATCGAAGGAGCCGTGACGTCACACTTAACAGCCCCATACGTTACGGGAACGCGAAGAAAGTTCGCGTGATTCTTTGCGTCGCGTTCCCAACACGTAGAGCAGAACCTCCCTACTAAATATACCGCGATATACTGGCTCGTACGAGACTCGTACCTCGCATTCCTAGACCAACACTCGAGTACTACAGGGTTTTGTCACAACAGCCTCTTTTACGGGCAAAATAAACACAATGAATATTTTTTCCCAAGTGTTCCAAAAACTACACTGCACTGTGTACTAGTACTCGCGATCCGGGCGATGCTTTTGAACACGCGTGCAGGGTGTGGTGATTTGGAAACCGCAAACGTTACGTCGTTGTTGAATCTCACAGAAACTCTGCATGACTTCGATACGACCGTAGAGTTACGCAAGATTTCGAGCGCAAAGCCAAAGGTTTGGTGCGGCAAAGTCTGAAAGACATGGTTTCACGACGACAGTTTCAAGAGTACAACCGCTTTCCCGATAGTTCGCGGGCTGGTACCTCCGCAAATCTGTATCAACGACCCAGGAGGTCGAGCAGGAAACTGAAGGACTCGTGAAGTAACACGTTAGTTGAAAGTACATGCACCAAACTCCAAAGAAGTCAGTTCGATTTGTAGTGGAGCAAATCACACAGTCTTGTCCTCCCGTGGTTGAAACGGTCTGTATGGAAAACTTCTTCCTGCAGCAGGATGGCGGACGGAGAATCGTATGATTTCCTCTTCAAGATCGTTGTGATCGGGGACAGTATGGTGGGGAAAACGTCCTTACTGCAGCGCTTCAAGAATGGAGCATTCAATGAGCACCACAGCTGTACAATCGGAGTGGATTTTATCGTAAAGACGGTGGAGATGGAAGGCAAAGTGGTCAAGGTAAGCTCAGTCAGTTGAAGTACATGTAGCGAGCCACACATACTATTACTACACTGTAATGCACTACAAGGACAACTAGTTGCGAGCATGCAGACGCTCAGTCAGGGTTTGCCAAGTGAACATGAGTACGAGTATGTCTAAAATTTAATATATTTTTTCGATCTACTCACAATCAAGAGTATACAGCACATTTAAACCTGGTTCGGCGAGACCAAAAATTATCGAGATTCCCGGGCAGCACCCATGTGAAATTGTTGTAGGCGAATTTTTTACTGTGCATGGATTGCATGCTGAATGGACAGCTCTTCTATATCGACCTCCACTAATTCTTGTGATCCTTGACTGGTCCTATATTTAGGAGGTTTCGCTCTACGTAATTACGTATGAAAATCCGTATGTCGTACGCGCCGGGGAGCGAGGGCAACTTTCATACGTAAATCTCTCTACGGATTTCCGTAGGAAAGCTCTTTCCTACGTTGGGTCCTCCGTAGGACTTTTTGAAATATTTTTTCGCATTTTCCGCATTTGTCCATGGCAACATTCAAGCCGCGCGAAACACAAGGTACACACACCGTACACCACGTGCAAAATATGATGGAAAACACGGTTTCGGTTCATGGTGCATACGGTGGGCGCATGCAGCCAACGCATCTCCAAAGCAACAACGCATGTTGAGCAGTCGTGGAGAAATCACGTAGAGCGCGAAACCCAACAGCTCTGATTTTTACGTATGAAAATTCCGTGCAGTTCATACGTTATTTTCATACGTAATTCCGTAGAGCGAAACCTCCCTATTACCCATATCGCCGTAATATCGACCGCTTGTATCGACCACTTAGGCATTGTAATCTTTCGACTTCGGAGGGACTTAGAAATTTTCTCTCCACTTCAAAAAGAAAATTTGAAAAAAAGAAGACAAAGGAAGAGAACAAGCAGGACTCGAACACACAACAGTATAAATCTCGAACAACCCCTAATACCACCCGGCCACTGTGCTGCAGATGCTGAACCCTGTTGTTCTTACAGTCTTGTACCCAAAATAGGCAACAGCCTATGTACACTATAGTACAAATGCTATACTTAAAAGCTTAAAATAGCTCCTAAAGGTTCAAATTTTGGGGCTATGGCAAAGGAATCGTGATAAATAGGATATAGACCTCGTCTTGGTCAATATCCTATACATATTTCACAGTACACGGTTCTTGGTTTACCCATCCAATCTTTGTATTTCACCCAACAACGGCCCAGGCCTGAGCCCCCTGTGTTGCAAATCTGGCACAGCGCTGCAGGTGCTGCCGACTTCGAGTCGTAACAAACATGTTGCACTTCCGGCTTTGTACAGCTTAGCCCAGGTCTTCCACGCCTGTGGTACAGCTTAGCCCAGGTCTTCCACGCCTGTGCATGTCAACAGCGTGAGTGCTTCTACAACACTCGTAGTGCACTTGATTAGTGCATGCTCAGCCGCAAAGAACGCGGCTGAGCTGAGTCGAGAAGATCTATGACAGATTTGACGGAAATATCACAGGGTTTGGTGTAGATACACTGCATAGCTGTATTAGTCGTGGATCACGCGATCAGAACGTCCACTGTTCGAAAGAAAGAAAATCTCCTTCGGCTCTATTTTGGTGCGTGGGCCCAGAAATCTCAATTTTTTAGTTCTGCCTTTTGTACTCTTGCTGACATGTATGACAGGACTACATGTACAATGAGTTCTACATACCCGTAATGTCGCGTATAAAAGCAGGTGCTTACGGCCGTATACGCCGATGTCAGTGCTAGGCTTCTATTCAAGTCAGGCTTCTATTCAAACCACGTATCTCTGTGTATGTCAATACTAAACTAGGCTTATGCGCTGACAGTGTATCTTACAAATCAGGCTTGTATTCAAAACAGGCTTCTATACAAGACACTACAGTAGCTTAGGGACAGCGATATTTGAGTCAAGACACATGTCTCTGATTTTCACGCTTACTGCTGTGCTTTGTGAGTGAGATTTGCGATTGAGATGCACTTGCCACCAACCATTGCTACTTTCAAGGCACATAACTCTGAGTGTCACCGGTTCTAGATTGGGGGTGAAAATAATTAAAGGGGAAGTATACCCTAAAATCAAATTTTCACCAGTTGCAGTCTTCGGGGTGCTGAGCCTAATGGTCTTGGTCCGAGGAAGCTGAGACGCTCCCTTCCTCCTTTATTCGCAATCGAAGTCGCGCGCTTCCACCGAAACTGGGTGACTGCGCCCTACTAGATAGAGATTTGTATGCAAAAAGTCACTAAAAACGCCGTTTCGTTTTTATAAAAGCACGGATGACCGCGATTGGTTCATATGTTGTAGTCTTTTGGCCGCTGAGTCAACTGGTTTTGGTCCGAAAAGGCTGCGATGCAGCGTTCAGCCCTTATTCCCAATCGAACATGGTTGAGTAAGCGGTCACGTGCTCATGCGTACACCAGTCACCTGGTCATTGTGCCTTCAGCCTAAGTTCAGGCTACAATTTACAGCCTGTTTGGGCCCATTCCTGTCACTCGAGTTGAACCTTTGAACCAGGGAGTCGTAAAAGCCTCTTACAACTCCCTGCTTTGAACCTTTGAGTTGAACCATGGTGTGAAAATTGTAGCCTGCAGGCACGGTGACCAGGCGACTGGTGTACGCATGAGCACATGACCGCTTACTCAACCATGTTCGAACGGCGTTTTTAGTGACTTTTTGCATACAAATCCCTATCTAGTAGGGCGCAGTCACCCAGTTTTTTTTTTGGTGGAAGTGCGCGTGTTTGTTTGGGAATAAAGGGGGAAGAGAGCGTCTCCGCTTCCTCGCACCAAGACCATTAGACTCAGCACCCTGAAGACTACAACTGGTGAAATTTAATTTTAGGGTATACTCCCCCTTTAAAATAAATGTCACGAAGGAGGTCGCCCGTAGGTTAAAATGCTTAGACCAATTTGTTCCTTGAAAATCAATACATGTACTTACCGTTAACTTGTTGCCAATCGACCACTGCAGGATCCATCTGTAGTCAACTCTGGCCACAGACCGTGGCACAGACTATGTCACAACATCTAGCCAGACCTGTACCGAAAGACTACCTAGTTACCTGTCTATAAAAAAAAAGCAGAGTAGAAAGACGGCTTTGTGCACCGCGGATGGTCACTAAATGCAACAACTTCAACGCGACTACACGTAACCATCATGGAATGGGATAGCTCTGACGTTTTGACAGCCCATTCAGAAGCACACAGAACTGTACTATGGGGCGACAGGAAAAGAGGAAAAGTAAAAAGCAGAAGATCTACTTGTATGGGGTCCTCAGCTTGCTGGGATTATTTTGGATTTTCATGCTCGTTTCCATGTACCGGTACTTGGATTCTTACATGACTCCCCCCCCCCCCCCCCCACACACACACACACATACCGCTGACAACATTAGTGGCACTTGTGTTTATGTGCACGCTTGTACATGTGTGTGTTGGTGCTGGATTTCAGCTGCACATTTGGGATACGGCTGGACAGGAACGCTTCAAGTCAGTATCGCATAGCTTCTACCACAACGCGCACGCAGCTATTCTCGTGTATGACATTACCAACGAGGGCTCATTCTTCACTACTGCAAGATGGCTGGCGGATGTAAGGCGGTTCTCCTCGCCAAAGGTAAGGCTATCATTCACTCCAACTTAAAACTCTTGTTTTGAGGTTCGCAACATGTTGTTGGATCCCCATTCTTGCTGGAAATGTGAACGCTCTTCTTTGCATTATTCCCATGGAGTTGCAGGGCAGCTTGTGCTGGACAATTTTAGAATTATGAATCGTAACTTTGGTGTGGACGGCCGTTTATGAGAGAACGTGTTGTGATTTGGGTACTTGATGATTGTGTACTGTTGGTCTTTAGAACCGTCTATCTTTCCCTTTGTTCTTCAGACACTGTGCATGTTGGTGGGCAACAAGCTGGATGCGGGCAATCAGAGAATGGTTTCCAAGGAAACAGCGCTGCAGTTTGCCAATGACAACAAGGTCACATCGGTTGTTGAGGCGTCGGCCAAGGACAACTCTGGGGTGGAGATGATCTTCCACACGCTGACGAAAGACTTGCTGTCAGTCCACAGCACCGGTCATATGAATGGTATGAGGGTGGAAGATCTAGGGCAGTCCGACAGCGAATGTGATAGCGGCGGTGAAGATGTAATACACTATCGCAAGCGGCACATCGTGCCAGTTGTCATTAACCTCAACGACGAGCCCAAGCAGCGCAACTGCCAATGCTAGCACTGGCGGAATTCAATTTCTTCTCCTTGATTGGTTGGCCGTCCAAGAGAATAGACACCCGTATCAGCAGTGCTCCTAGTTTCCTATGATCACCTCGCTGTGTGTCTGCGGGAAGTGTGCGGAAGCATGAATTAGTTGCCATTTTGGTACTCACCAGAAGGTAACCTTCAACAGAATGTAGTCGTCCAATGACAACCATACCCAACGCTATCCAGCAAGCTGTCCATTGACTGTCCATGAGTAGCAGTCTGCTAGAGCCTGGTAACATCATCTTCCTGCACGTAGACTACTCATTGAGAGCCACCTTTCTGTATGGCACCTCGACATTGCAGCTGTCTGTGATATCTCTCTGGCCCTTAGTATCTGTTACGAGTTTCATCGTCTCGCCTGAGCTCCCGCTCACTGCGCCATGCTGTGTGCCATACCGCACCTGTGTGGTGGTGGTGATAGGGAGGTGTGTCGGCCACCCCCAGACTTATCCTCGCACCTCTGAAGGCCGCACCACCCACTGCCGCCGCAACCGACGACTTAGCCCGTCCTCCATGTCCGCGTCTTTTCTTGTCAGTGAAATAGCTTGCCCAGTCGGAACAGACCGAGTACCACACGTGCACACACACGCCACGACACGGCAAAATGTGACTCCACATACAACAACTATAGTGTCTCTTGTGCCCGTGAGCTGAAGGTGCTTTGTCTATTCTCTAGAACCTCGTGCACTATTATAGAGTTGATGCTCTGTGCAGATGTATATACATATACATATCCATATCCTCAAACTAGTCAAGATATACATATAATATAATATAATTATATTATTATTTTACCGTTACTACTTTTTGTTTCTCTCCCCCTCCCCCTCTTGACTAGGTAGCTGGAAGCAGCATATTTTATTTTGATCCTCTTGTAATTTATTATTCTCCTACTTTTTGATCATGTTGTTGCTGTTTTTAAACCTAGTTCTTGTAGTTTCTTCGTTGTTTACCGGTGTCTCTTAGCACCGTGGCTCTTGTAAATTATTGGAGTGCTCATGCGTTCATTGCAGGGTGCATCTCGCTGCTGTACATAATTCTTGTGCCCACCTTGTTTGTTTCTTGACGCTGTAGCCGAGGTTAGCATTGGATGCACAATGACTTGTCGCATCTGCAACCACATGTGTTGTGTTATGTGTATTTTGTGCGTGTGCTTGCTCGGTGTGTGTGTGTGTGTGTTTGTGTGTTAGACTGTTTGTAAGTGGGCTGTTCAACAACGATGCTATTTACGTTGCTTGCTTTTCAGAATTACTCAGACAAGGGAGTTGTAAATGTATTTGTTATGCCTTTGGGCAAGAGTAGATAATCAAGAGTGTGCAACTCCCGGATGGGTTGGCCCACGGCGGAATTTTTTGTTGACGTAATCTTTTCTACGACACACGCGCTGCGGGTCTTTTGGGAAGTTTTGCCTCGTGCCCTTGTCCGGGCTTTACATTACAAGGTCGGTGCCCAGCACGTGCTCTCACACTGCTTCACTGCGAAAAGCACTGTTTTTTGAAGACAAAAGGTGACGTCCACATAAAAATCCGCTGTGGACCGGGGTATCTGCAGATTGTGCAGAAGAGATGCGGAGCTGCACACTCTTGTTTATCTACTCTTGCTTTGTGTCATCGCATATTATATATAAACAAAGAATAATATTGAGATTGCTGCCAGCTCAGGGCCTTGGCTACGCTCCTTTTTTTTCTTCTTTACCCAGGTGACTGGTCTTCATGAGAAGAACTCGTGAGACATAATCATTTGATGCATGCATTGCAGGAACAACCCGGCTCTCGCTCACAGACTAGAAACAAGCCGGTGCTGAGATGCAGGGAGTAGTGCAATGTACAATACCATCAAGAGAAGATAAGCATATTTCTCTAGATTGAGTACTCTTCATACCAGGTATTGTATTACTGGCTGCTGAGATGTGATGAGTGTCTTCTGTCTAACTTGAAAAGTCACATCTGGTGCCAGCAATGACAGGACTACACGCATATGAATTAATTGGAACAAATAAAACAGCTCATACACTCCTAGTGTTCAAAACAGGATCAGATGTAGTATACTATTTGAAATATTTTCACGCGAACCAACCACATAGTAATTATTTAAAAAATTAGTCTTTTCATGGAATGCGAAGCAGTAGTGAAAATCAATAGTTCAGTAAAAAGATAAAAATTTGGAGTTTTTGGGGCGAATGGAGTCGGGTTCAAAGTGTTAAAAGTAGAGTGAAGTTGTACTCGTAGTGTTAAGCAGACTCTGGTCGCTTGAGGAATCCATCAGGAAAGTGCCTGCCGCTGGAAACACGGCTGCGGTCATGTACTGCGCACAACAGTATAGAACTATTATATAAAAAGCTGATCTGACGAGAACACACGGTTTGTAGTGTATGGCGAGCACTCAAACACGCCGTCATGTCTTTCCATATCGTATGAGACCCGACTGACCGGTCTCAGTCTCATCTTTGGAAAACTCCCCAATTTGTCTAGTGTTAGTTAGCATTTTGGCTGGTTGCTGGAGAGCGGCTGAGTGTTCGTAACCGGCCATGCCATTCACTAGGTCCGGCGCATGTCAGCACGCACAGCTGTCCTGGTCGGTGTTCACCTCCTCCGGATCCAGGCTGATCTCCGGGTCCGGAGTCGGTATCAACTGACAAAGATGACTGTCGCCTGGCGTCGGCACCGTTGTCTCGATAGTCTTCATGACGATGTCGAGTAGTTTGTGCACAGCCAGCTCCACATTCTTGCCTGTGCACGCGCTACACTCGATGTAGGGAAGGTTCAGCTTACCGGCCATCTCCTCAGCCTCGGCCGTCGTCACCGTTCTCCTGGCCGCCAGGTCTAGCTTGTTGCCCACAATGACAATGTGCGGCGTCTGCGTGTACGAGTGCGTCTTGATCTGCTCCAGCCAGTCGCGCAGGTTCACGAACGACTGCTTGTTCGTCAAGTCGAACACCAGCAGGAAGCCCATTGCACTGCGGAAAAGCGCCGTCGCCACGCCACGGAACCTGCACAAACCCAATGCAAAAAGCCTCTATAACGTCACCAAAGCCAATCGAACACCTGTAGAGTGAGAGGTTAAATCATAAAATGTCAGTGCTGTTTAGACTTTAGACTAACTTCAAAGCTGCTAATCGACCACATACGTACATGTTGCAGGAACACTATCATGTGCCAGATCTAACATAGAGAATCAGAAACATCGGATACAGGCTCACAAAACACACATTGCATCGCAGTTTCGGACTATACCTACATACACTGTACGAGTATCATGTACACAGCATACCACCTGACTGCTCAATGAAATCCGATCTCATGACGAAGTTAGCGTCCAGCACCAGTGCACAGCCCATTGTTCACAGGTCTGGGGCTGCACAGCGTGGCGGCGCTACATGACTTTTAAAGCGATCGGATTGCATTGAGCAACAAAGCAGTTCCCTGTAACTTGTCTTGTTTGTTTGAATATAAACATAGCATACTCTTTAGACCTTTGGCACAGGGCCACATCAAGTCTGGTATAATTAAACAAAAACCCTACCTCTCTTGTCCGGCTGTGTCCCAGAACTGAATACTAAAGCGTTTCCGATCACGGCTCACCTACACATAATAGCATACACAAGAGGTCCTGTTTAACGTTACGATAGGATTCCGCTTGATCCACGGATGCACGTTTGTGATCCACAGCACTTTGGTGCATGAACATTTGTCCGGTCAATACAGGATTCTGCTTCGTACAGGGTTTGCCAAACACAGGCTTTACTGCTTTCCCAAAATTGATATTGGGCTCATGCAGGATTACATAACAAGTAAGCTATGAAAACATAGGGTACCCCGTAAGAAGGCCTTAGGCCTGTGGGAATGCCCTATTCAAAATTTAATAAGAAATATAAAATAATAATAATAACTGCATCGGCCGTCACAGGTATCATACAAACACTAATTCTATTTTTAAGATTTATGGTCATATTGACATCACACGCGTAGTGAGAATCTGCTCAACGCTAATTTCTTTTCTCCTGAACACACACATACACACACACACACACACACACACACACACACACACACACACACACACACACACACACACACTCATACACACCACACACACACACACACACCACACACACACACACACACACACACACACACACACACACACACACACACACACACACACACACACACACACCGCACACACACGCACACATACACATACACAAACACGCCTGCATATATTGCCCATACTAAATTCATTGCAACTCTCGTCGTTCGGAGCGCTCACCCTCTTCTCCTTGAAGTCTATACCGACGGTGGCACCGAACCTCGACTCGAACGTTTCATCCGTGAATCTCAGGAGAATACTTGTCTTGCCGACTCCGCTATCCCCTAGCGCAACGAACTTCAGCATGTAATCATAATCGGCTAGCTGCTGTTCTCGGGAATTCATCCCTGCATGTGCTGCTGCTGCTGTACGATATTACCTCGTCGCTCGGGAGACAAATTGGGAGGCAAGACTACAACTAATGTAATAGCCTATGATTAAAATTATGGTAGTGGAGTAATTGTAGCACTCCGATCCAAGATCCTGTCCGGTAGTATTACGATTGTATATTTTCCAAAGCTCGTAAAGATTGATTGGCGACTTTTATATCAGCTCTGTCGCGCCCCGACGTAACCAGTAAGCTCTCGGTCTCTATCAGCATATGATATCCAGCTAGTATGTGAAAGTAACCACACGACCACACATTCAAGTACTTAAGTCGTATTAACCCGACGTTTATAGTTACAAAATAATAATTGTAGTAGATCTACTGTTGTCTTTCTCTTCCAGCTAAAACTGGCAATGGTTTTATTATTTTCGAGGGAAGTCTGAAGGGCCAGACTCCACGAGTCACGACTTCGCCGCACGCGCACGCGGCTGTGTCCATCCAGTCGTGTGTGGCATGGCACTTGGCTGCGCGCGTGCGGTGTCAGTGAAGACATCGACAAGACTGGCGTGCGAAAACTGTTTTCCTGCTGCATGCTGTTGTATAGCGTTGACTGATTGATGGAGTACCGGAGTAGTCACCCAGCAGTCACCAGGTCACGCCAGTATGGTCCTGGCGCTGACAGATCTACAGACATTTCCCCACAAAGTCATGATGCGTGCGTTACGTCACTTACGTGCCCCGGGTAGATCTACACACCATTGGCATGCCGGATATTGGCATTGTACTTACTTTATTACTATTAAGTATTAGTCTTTGAGAACTAGAACGCACAAACTTGTGACAAATTTCGTCGCTTTGCAAAGCGACGAATCGATCGCGTGAAACCGTACCTTGATGATAAGGTTGAAATTCGGCAATAAAAAGAAGTGTAAGATTGAACCCAAAAACTTGACAAGAAACCGTTACCTAAATGGCCTACCGGCGCCAGTACTGCAGTAGTACCGGCATGCAAAGGCGAAGTCACGCCTCTGCCCGTATCAGCACAGCCGGCGGTAATATGCTGAAAGGGGGCTCTCGACCCTGCGGCGGATGAAAGAGGCCCTACAGGCTACAGACTAGTACAATGCGTGCACTGCAGCCCAAAGCATGTGACTACCCATCGCAGCAGGCAAAATGAAACCCGGGTGTGTAGATCACCCATCACGGCACCAAGTCTCTGTTTGTCCACAACCAAAGCAGCCAGAGACTTCAGAAATAATGGTGGTTTCCTTGCCCGCCACCCCCGAGGTCGAAAACACCAGTGGGGTGAATGATGCTCTCTCCACGCGGCACCAAACGCCGCCTTCTTCATTCTCTCGTGTACATGACATTGTATTCTCAGGTGGCTGAGGATTTCTGGACGAGACAGCAAGGACGGTCTAAGGTCAGTGACCCTTACAAGTTCCATGTACAGTCAACTTCGCTAATAACGACTGCGGATATAACGACAATTCGCGAATAACGACAGAATTTCCATGCCCAGAGCAAAGTCCCATCCCACTGTAATACATATAATGAGACTTCGGGTATAACGACACTTCGCGAATAAGGACACTTTTTTGATGCCCCGCCGAGTGTCGTTATAAGCGAAGTTGACTGTACATCAAAAAAGCGTCCTTTGGATGAAAGTGGGGCGGGGCAGAAGTAACTCCTCCGCCATGGGTCTCGGATTCATTGCTACTCATGTGCCCCGGTACGAAGGAGAAAATGACATGTGCATCCAATAGGAAAGCACCTTTGAAAACGATAATGGGGAGAATTGGAGATTGAGATAGGACATACATGTACATATAAAAGCAGTGCACCGTGGGGATCAGAGACTCAGAGAGGGGTAGAAGGGGACTGGAGTGCGGTCAGTATATTAGGCTGGTGTGCTGTGGCTGGGATGGAGAGATCATACGATAACCTGTCTGTGGCCCACTCCCGCTTGCTGCGCCGTAAGTTGTCGTTGACATTTTTTTCTTGAAGGTTTGCATACCTCCGTGAGAAGGGGGAGACTGCAGAAGGGTAGATGGGACTGGGAGCTGATTCCACGTTGCGATGAGAGAGTGGGAAAATGAGCGCAGTGTGTTGTTTCGTGACTGAGGAGGGAGGATAGTGACGGATGATGTGCTACAGATCTGGTGGTATGTCCAGGCGTCCCTCTGGCTGACGATTAGCCGAGTGTACTATGCAGTAGCCATGGTGGTAGATCTCTGTGGACCTCGGAAGGTGTCTCGAAAACATTTGCATTTGAGAGTGAGAGGCATTCGCACTATCATTATCAAACACCCCAAACCTTAATCGCCTTTTTACTGTACAAGTAGTTCAAGTACTGTGATTTGTGCCTTCAGTTGCGCTGAAAAGTGAAAATACAGGACTTCTGCATAGGCCTTGACGGATTATGCTAGCATAATTTTTCGCATAATTCCTGCCAAAATCGAATAATCGCATAATTCGAGGCAAATTGCACACGAATCGCATAAATTGGAATAATCCGCCTGTTCGCATCAAATTCCATACAGTTATACAGTCATGTTCTTACTTACAGTACAAGTACAAGTTGATGCACCAGGAAGTCGTAGGTTTACGACTCCCTTGATAACAATCAGTGACGGTCGCAGCTAGGTCGAACGGTGCGTTGACCCCGTTGAACTTTTGCTACTACACGTCTACAGTACAGCGCCCTCTACAAAAAAATCCCCTGTTATTTTGCACAGAATCATCATATACATTAGCAGCATATGTGAGCATAATGCGGCATAATACGATAACTTTTAGCATAAAAATAGCATAATTCTGCAATTTTTTCAGCAATGCGAAAAGCATAATTTCACGAAAATATTAGCATAATCCGTCAAGCTCAAGGCCTACTTCTGCATAGGAAAGTACTAATCCCTGACATTTTTGGCTGCTTTTCGGACGTTTCCTTTTTCGGACCGGTTTTCGGAAGAGCCTTCAAAAATCGGGCGGTTTGGCAGCACTGCATGTATCAAGAGTACATAACCCGGGGGGTTATGTACTCTTGCATGTATGGACCAGGCCCCCAGGAGTCGGGACCACTCCCTGGTATGGACTATGGCCCATTGCAGTATGGCCTATGCCTAGTATGGGTATGTAACTAATGATGTAAGCTGAACGACTTTACGTAGGTCTACGTAGATCTACGTACATGGTCCGTTACATGGAGGTATCGGGCTACAACTTACAAGTACAACCATACCAACGACGGTATCCAACGTAACCATATTTTTAAATCAAACACCTCCTCACCTGCAATGCATGCTAGCGCTAGCTGCAGCGTGCTCCTGCATGCAAAGGCTGCATGCAGCCTGGCCTGGTCAGCTGAGTCCTGCTCATTGTGGTACGTAGAGAATGATAGTGAGCGTTTTCATGGTTTTTGGAGAGCTAGAGCAGTGTAGGGGTGCGCCGACCGTGTAGCCCCATCGCGTCAGTGTTG